ACACAAAAAAGATACTTAAACAGAATGAAATACTTAAAATTGCGTATCGCTCTTCTTTCTTTACATCAAACCATAGAATACTTGAATCAAACAGAATCATCATTCACAATGGAACGTCATCTAATGCCTTTCCTATTTATCAGTCCTTTACCTATTTGTATACAGGGTGGATCACGAAGCGTGATCAACTTAGATTATTCTGCTGCCAGCGGTTCGATCAAACACTTTCTTAGCCAAAATGACATAGTTAAGGGGAACTTTATGATGATTATACCAAATTCCAGAGTCGTCAAGGTCACCTTCAGTTCGAACATCACGAAACACTACTAACACTTCACGTTCGATACCACTTAACGACCGAAAGGCCCCGCTACGGGGACATAAAAAGAATTTCCTTTTCATTTTATTTATTTATCATAGCTGTAATTTTCTTTATCAAATATCGCAACTTATTACATCATTGGTTCGTTGATCGTGCACTGGCAAAAAATATTTACCGTAATATAACGTCTTATGGGCGAGTATTACGAAAAAAGCTCTCGGCCGTTAACACTTTCACGTCCGCACGATTCACAAAAATTTTCTTTTCTATCGCCGGAATTTTTTGCAAAGTTGTTCATTAAAATGTACAAATATAAAATATAAAATTCATTACAACATAATAAACTTAGCTGCTTTTTATTAAATGATAGTGTAAATACGTGTAATACGTGTAATACGTGTATTTAAAATAATACATGTAATTTCCAATAGCACCACGTTGAGGTCACCGCAAATAATAAACGGGATGCAAATGGCACCACGTTGGTGTCACCGGACGTGAAAGTGTTAATCAAGTCAATAATATAGTGTTACTATAGTGTAAATAATGGAAGGATGGATCTTGAGTAATCGAGAGCTAGGAATAAATATCATGTATTTAATAAAATAAAGCTAAAACTATGGTCAAAATATAAAATATGGGAACAACACGGACAACACGTAAGAAGTACAACTCAATGCCACGGAGGCCAACACGCGACTCTGCTCCCGCAACTCTTTTACAGGCTCTCCCAAAAATCATTCTCTCCCCCACAAGCATTCTTCTCGCTCGCACTCATCAGAAACACTCGGATGCACCCCTGAAAGGCTGGCCCTGCAATCTTGGGTCCGCGACGTTGTGCAGGCCATTTTCCCTCGACCGTTTTACAACCTGTCCTTCACTCACACTCATTCTTACATTCACTCTTCTTAAAAATACCTTAACCTACGCTAGAATTCTAGATACTACAGTAATGACTAATCTATCAACACCTCTGGAAAGTGTACAACAGTGTAGCTTGCTATTTCTCTTTAATAATTTTTATGAATCTTGCAAAACTCTTCCAGCTAAGAGTTTTCTTTAGTCTTTTTAGATTCAGAAAAGAATATTTGCCGTGATGCTTGTCGAATTCGACTCAGTGTTCCCCGAAGGCGGATGTAAAAAAATATGTAGATTTACCTGTAAAAAAACTGAAGGTGACCTTGATAACTTTGAGGAAAAGGGTTGACTTTGAACCATGTTATTTTAGCTAATAACATTTTCGATCGAACTACTGGCAGTCGAGTAATCTAAGCTGTAAATTGTTACCCTGTATAGTAGAACCTTGATTATCTGATTTAATTTGGCAATTAACGGGCAGGATAAATGGCGATTTAGGAAGAAAATTTTCGAAATGTATATATGAAATTTTATCGTACAGAAATCAAGCTAGGGGAGAATGAGGTAGTGGCGGTGACTTAAGCAGCAACTGTAATAAAATGAAAGTATTAGGTAAAATGTTTATTTAAATGAGTATTTAAACTTAAATTAATTATTTATTAGTACAATATAAATTATAATTTTAGGTTCATTTAAATAACAATTTGTAAAAATAAAAAAGGTCCACCAAGACCATATTTTATCATCAAAATATTATCAACTCGGAAGCAAATATGGCATTGTTTATATCAAATTCATCATAGCTTTCGATAACAAGTTAATTTAATATTGATTAATTTGTGAAATTAATTTTTCTTATTTTTCTCCCTTCTTCCTTTACAAGATTTTCTTTCATTTTTCTTTGATTTTATCTTCTTCCTGTCAAATATTTGTTGTTTATTGAAAAAATTGTAACATTCTTCCTTTATCGACCTCGAGTTATCTTGTCTTTTTGTCGTTAACTATGAAGCTAAAAAAGGAATATTTAATGATTTATTGGCAGTTCATTGAGCTTTCTCAATTTTTCTAGACCGTGCTCTTATTATCCACCAAGTAAAGTCGTTGTAATAAAGAAGAACTTTATAACGCGCAAATAAATAACGATACATGCAATAACGATACAATCAATCAATAAAATTGAATGTTAAACAAATAAAAAATATTTACATGAAATATATTCAATATTAAACATGTAAATAAAAAATATTTACATGAAATATATTCAATATTAAACATGTAAATAAAAAATATTTACATGAAATATGAATACAGTTCCTTCTACTGATAATCTATCAATAGAAAATTATATAGATAGAAAATACATCAATCATGTTAAAAAACAGATAAAGCTTGTTTTTCTTTGTTGTTAACCCTTTGAGTGTTGAGGAGTACTACAGCGCTCTTGTGTTGTGCCAAAATTCTGAGGAGCGTGATAGCGCTTCTGTTTATCAGTATCAATTATAATTTTCTTACTGTTTTTCAAGAAATAAATCAAAGTAAATTTATTTGAACAAATCTTATTTTTTGATATTCTTTTTGTAACAACACAGTATTTGTGATCTAATTAGATAACTACTCTTATTAATTTATTTTCATACATACTCAAACACTTCCGCATTTTTAGTACATACAGAGTTTTCTGAAGTTGGTAATGACAAAATGAAAGGCACAATTGAATTAAATCGTCATATAACTGTACGAGAGATTGCAAAAAGGTTGAATATATCACACACAACAATTGAAAATCACATAGGATGTCTTGGACTCGTTAAGAAGCTCGAATTGAGTTTTATTTCACACTGAAAAACCGAAATTACTTTCTTGCCAACCCAGAGTTTCAGCATTCGCCAGTTCGAATAAGCGAGGTTCTACTCTATATAGAACGTACACACGTTCGTACAATTAAGAGTACGCTGAACATCAGTTCGAATAGTAAATGTTCAGTTATTATTGCGCGTATTAAAGGTTCAATTACGTTTCCGCATATGAAAAATTCATTTCTGTATCCATATATTAGAGTTTCAGCATTCACCAGTTCGAATAAGCGAGGTTCCACTGCATTTAGAACGTACACACGTTCGTATAATTAAGAGTACGCTGAACCTCAGTTCGAATAGTAAAGGTTCAGTTGTCACTGCGCATATTAGAAGTTCAATTACGTTTTCGTACATTGGAAACTTATTTATAAGAATTCGTATATGAAAAGTTCAGCATTTACTACTTCGGAGAAACGAGATTCTACCGTAGTTCGGATAATAGAGGTTCGCTTATGAGTTCGTACACCGGAAGTCCAGCAATTGCTGGTTCGGATAAGCGAGGCTCTATCGTGCCCGATTGCGGCTCGCTCTGGCAAAGACCGCATTGCGCCAGCACGCGCGGGGTGGTTTGTCGGTGCCGGCTCGCAGCGTCGCTCGCCGACGCACCCCCGCTTCCGCCGCCGCCATTGCCACCGCCTCCATCTTCGTCTG